AGGTAATAAATTTGGAGGCGTGGTCGTAATTGCAGAAATCCGAAATTTTGCTGAAAAATTTAAGTGTTTGATTAAATGAGTGATTTATTTTTTTGTAATTGTGCTGAATTTGGACTTTTTGTTCGCAATAATTTTGTAGTAAAAGAACTGAAAACAATGTCAGATAACAACAATAAAAGAAAACACACACACACACATGCATACATATACACATAAATACAAACTTACGCAGCAATATGAAAAGCAAAAACAAATGGAGACATTGAAGTTCAGACTTGCGGGCAGCAAACAGCGCATGCATAAATATTACACTTGGCAAAATCACCACAGCTTTCCACCATATTCACCACATTGATGCGCGCGTACGTACTCGTCGTGCATGCATCGCTTACGCTCGCTACTCGTTCAAGGAGCATATGAGCTCGTCGAACCCAAAGGATTGGATTCTGACAGACCGGAGCTGGAGCAGCCAACTTGGGCGTATGGCGCTTGCTATTGCTACAGTGGCGGCGAAGCTTGCAACATTAGCTGCTGGCGCTTCAATTGTGCCCGCGCCACCGTTCTTCTTCTTCTTACACGTTTACTCAGTGCGTTTCGCCGCCTAAGAATCCTCGCTGTGTTCATTCTCGTCATTTTCGTCACTTGCTTCGTCTTCGTCGCCGTTACGCTGTTCGGCTGTGTAGACTTATTGATTGTGATAGTTTCAACGTGTGCGTGTATTGTGCTGTTGGGTGCACCATCCCGCGTCTCGCTCTGGTGCTGGCAGCTACCGTTCGTGCGCATGCACAGGCATTGTTTTTGCAAAAGAAAATAACGGTATGTTGCCGTGAAGCTGCCACGGCTACTGTCAATGCTGTTCGAGGTGAAGTTCGCTGTGGGTGGTTGGGCGCGCTGCCTTTGACTAACAGCAGTAGTGTTGGCGTTGCAGTCTCCATTCTGGTTTTTGGTGTTGTGAGGGTTTGTGGTGAATTGTTGCTGTACGCATAGTCGTTGCGCATTGTTCGTGCGTCGTTCGACGTTATCGTTGTCTTTTCGCTCGACATTTAACTGTTTATGTCCGCTTTGCTGTCAACTCTCAGCGTAATCATCGTTGCACTGCCTCGTGCTGTTTTCGTTTTTACCGTTATTGTTTTCTTGTGGTTGTGTGTGTGTTTGTGTGGTGTGCCTTGACGCTGGCTGTGCGCTTCGGCATTCACCGTATTTTTTAACCGTTATTTTGCATTTGTTAGGACGAAATGCTCGTGCGCTCGTGGAAAATTCACCAAAATTTTCATTTTCAGTTTTTCTCCGACTGTTTAGGGCGGTTCCGCAGGCAGCAGGCTGAAGAAAAGTGTGTGCAGTGCAGTGTGCAAAAAAGAAAAAATCAAATAAAATATGTGTAAGCAATGAAAAAATTGAAAAAAATTTAGAAATTCACAAAAAGTGCAAAGTGTGCAAAATGTGTGCGAATTTTGCAAAATGTGTTTGCTTCAGCGCTACGTGCAATAATATTTACAAAGTAATCAAATATTGAATGCCACACTGCCGTGGCAAATTACATCGGCTGGCTGGCGTTGAATGTGGTGCGTGCGAAAATCCAATAAAACGGATTCAAGGTGCCTGCACTGACACTGTTTTGCTGCGGCTGGAAAATTTTTACGAAACAAATATCGAAAGAGCCTAAAACTTGTGGCAAAGCTGGAACGTTGGAGCGTTATAGCAACGGGGCTTTTGTGGCAGTGCAACGGGGGATTGGAAATAATTCGGTTAAAAAATAAGAGGGGCGCAACGATTTGTCAAAATAGTGCCGTTATACATACAAATCGCAAAAATATAAATGACACTCACTGTTAGACTGCGGGCACAGCAACCAGCCAGTCAGCCATTTAGTACTCCCGTTCTTCTCAATTAGTCAATGTTTTAGTCAGTGTGTCAATAAAGCATACGAGCAGTGTCCGGACACGCGTCACAATGACAGCCAGCAAGTGTGTAGCACGAGCGAGTGTCTGTGTATGTGTGTGTGCGAGTTTAGTATGATGTGCGAATCTGCCCACCGACCAGCCTGTTAGCCAACCTGGCAGACAAATTGTCGTGAGCGTGTTATTGGCAGTCAGATGGCCTTTGGCTGGCGCTTGGTGGCGAGCAGCGGAATTTCGTCCTTCGCTAAATTTCGCCATTATTAAATGAAAAAAAATCAAAAATCACATACACACGTTTAAGCAAAGTAGGTCTACTCGTTACTTCTGCTTGCTGGCTAAGCGTCTGCCAGCTCGCCACTCCATTTCTTTTGCCGTCTTACATTGTATGTAATGTGAATTCAATGAGTTGTAAACTTCGTCTCGTGCAATTTGAGATTACCTACCCCCTTTGCCCACCACATTTACTGTCCCGTCCTTTTTTCAACATGCTTTTGACGTTTGGCCTCTGCGCTACCACTACTACTGCTGCTACTATTGCTGTTGCTGCGCTAAATTTAACAGTTACTCGCCTTTCCTTTGCCTTCCCTTCTCGTGGTGCGCTCAGCAATTTGGCGTGTACAACTTTGCTTTTCATGGCTTTCAATGCGAAATTGCCCATTCACCACACGTCACGGCGCGCCTTCGTCGGTGCGCCCGTTCCTCGCGTAGCCTTCGTTCGCCCCATAGTCAGCGTTAAGCCTAGAAAATCGCATTTGTCTACTACAGCCGAGTTGATTACTTTTATGCCTTTTTTATTTTCCTTCTTTTCTTTGAATATGTTGAGCTGTTTTGTGTTTAAAAGTGCACGTTTAATGTGCTGTTGTTGTCGTCGGTGCATGTGTGTGTGTCTTTGACATTTAAAAATGTTCTGGCTAAGGTAAAATATTCGCTGGATTTTGTATCTTCCTTAAATGGTCGCCATCTTCTCCTCTCACTGTGGTATCAACAAGAAAACATAAAATAAGACAATCCTTTCACTAACACTACAACAACAACACAAACAAGTCATACATACATATATGCATTATTTACAAGCAATTTCTCGTCGCATTGGATAACGGTGTAAAAAGTAGTGACTGAGGAATATTGACAAATAAAGATGATGCAGTTGTTTTTAAACCATAAGCGATATTTTTGAAATCCTTAAATTTTTTTTAATTAATTGATAGAAAGTAAATTAACTAATAAACACGTTATAAATTAACTGAATTAAAATTTACTAACCCGAAAAATGGTGCCGTTTAAAGCCGTATCAATTTTGAAAGATTCTGCCGATTTTTTTTTGGCCAACACGGTTAATTTTTACGTAGCTACTTATATGTAGGTCTTCAAGCCCTACAACAGACTTGTATTGATATTTTTGAAAACATATACTATTTGCGTTTAAGTGGCAAGCGTGATAAGGCTACGAGTATAGTAATTCTCTATAGTAATTCTCTTTTCGCAATACATTGCATAATTTTAGGCTTAATATATCATTCCCATCTCAAGTATAATTCTCAACTAGGCTATCGAAATCAATATAATGTACAATAATTCAAGTATTCGCTAATCTATCGCCCTAATTTTTAGTAAACTTAAAAAATAGAAGAGGTTTTTAAAAAAGTTGGGATCAAAGCATTGCATTGACACTCATTCTCCGTTAAATATTCTTAAATGCCATGACTTGATAGTCAAAACGATTTATAGTCCGATTAACGACGATTATAACTGCTCGCAGGACAAACAATTTACAAAACAATTACAAAAAATCTTATTACGGGAAACTCACTTCAGCAACTTTCTTAAAATCCGCAAAATTTTAATCTTTCGTTATATAGATAATCAAAGAAATTCATTGAAAATATTTGGATTCTCTGATGAGTGCAATGTTAAGACAATTCTATATAGAGCTCGTGTTGATCTAGAAGTCAGAGTATTTATCGCGTACTGACGTTCAGGATTGTAGCTGGTGAAAGTCCTGCTCATCTAGACTTGACACGAACATTTTTCCTGCATCGCATGTCACCAATCAAATATTTGCAAATCAACTTATGTAGAATCCCTTTCACTATTTTCTGCACCCTTGTTTCTCGGGCCTAACGTTTGATGACATCCCTTTTCTTATATTCTGGACCTTTGTTTGCTGGGTTTCCCGTTTGATGACGTTGAATGGCTTACATTCCACAGGACAGGACGACAGCTCCAAATAATGAAACAAGAAAATATCTTATATGTGTATCTATGTTTCTACGCTGGATCACTGACCAGTATCCTAATGAAATACCGCTGACCGACATTTTCATTACATATATTTTTTTTACGAAACCAACAATTAATTTAGGTGTGACAAACATTGGGAAAACTATAAATTGAGTAAATTTAAAGGTATAAACAAACATTTTGAGATTAGAATAGTAGACGGAATGGTATTTATTAAATTACTTATGATTAATAAATTCTCAACTGGTGGCGTTTTTGAGTTGGAAAAAACAAAAATCTGTGGTGAAAGGTCTCACTCAGATAATCGAAGGTAAAAAATGTATCAGTAATGTGCATTCGACCGGCAACGACTTGCGTAGTAACGTCGGACCATATATTTTTTCATTATCTACAATATAATACATCGGTTTTTAATAAAAAAGAGGTCTTAAAGATTGCGTGCTCTAAGTGAGATTTACTAATGAGGTATATATATCTATTGTGTTGATTACTTTGAATGAAATCCATACTAAAATGTATTAAGTATGAAAAATGTATCTCCTTGTTCCTTCACCATATAACAGAGCCCACACTGTTCGGCTTCTAAGAGTTGAATAGGTATTTGAACAGGCCTCTATACTTTACAACCAATACTTCGTAGAGTTGTAGTTAGACGCAGCTTATTTATATCTTGGTTTTCCTAATGAGGTCGGTGGCTATCGATTAACATTCCATGATAATCTCAACCAATTCTAAACCAAAAGACATAAATGATATGGGTCCACTATAGAGATTCGGGTGTGTCTTCTGAAAAATTTTCTCGAATTCAAAACATTTCACTCCAAATACAATTTAATTATATTTCCCCTTTTATTTTTACAGTGTAGCATAATTTTAGATGCCCACGCATTGAAAGTAATAGAAAACATTACAGTAAAAACTAAAACAATAAGAAATTAAATAAAAATTTGAAAAAAAAATTAAAATTAAGACAAATAAATAATACAAAGAACAAATTAAAACTATTTAGCGAATCTGGTCATAAATAAAACAGTGTTAAAATATATACAAAACAATAAAAAGCAACCCTGCGTATTAAAACGAAAAACCGATGTTAAAAATTCTAAAACTAAACCACAACGAAATGACGAATAGAAAATTTAAACAAAAGAAATAAAATAAAACAAAATTAAAAACAAAAACAACATTAGAAAAAAATCAGTAAACGCACTTTGAACCGTTTTCAATGCTGTAAAAGTTTAAAAATCTCAAAAATTTGTAATACCCGAGATTTATTCGTGAATACCGTTACATTTTTATAATATTCGTAAATGTCCACGCGTTTGCATTTGGTGCCTTTCTAATGTTATCAATGTGTTTGTGCGTGTTGGTATGAAAACAAAAATATAGATAATTACAAAAGGAAGTATCAAATAAACCATAATTGTTGTGTGAAGAAAGTGAGCGTGAATTGTTAAATAACATAGCCGATAGTGTCAAAAGTCAAAAATACAACAAATTAGTATCAACTTATCAAGCAACGGTGAAGTATTGATGAAGCTGTGCTAAGTAGTCTGCGGCTGGGCTTTCAAAACGGTGAGTTACAATTTTAATATATATTTGAGAGAAATATTACTGGGTTTTCAAATTTTAACACCATATCAGCTGGCACTTTGGAGCACTTACAATATATTGTATTGTATGACTTTCGAATTTCGAAATTAAATGTAAAAAAACTTAAGAGCCTCAAAAGGTACTCCACAAAAAGCTTAAAATAATAGCTATCGTTTAGCCACTTCGTTTAGCCATTTCTCTGCTCGCTATCTTTGCGAGTTTGTTTGAACAACTGTTATAGCTTGTTCGATTTCCCACTGCCGATGCTTGGCCAATTAAACATAGCTAATTTATGTTTGTAGTGTAAATGGAATCATAATCAATTTGGGGGTTTCTTAGCTAAAAAGTGGTTTTGAACAAGATTTCTGAACAATTAAAATATATTATACAAAAGTTGACTGTCGAAACATATGATGTATAATACTATATGTAGTTATAACATCGATATTTTGCGGTTAACTGTATTAAAAGAAATAACATATATGGCATCATAGCTAATCTGCCTTAATATATGCACATTCTATTTTAATCTATCTTTCGATGATTTTTCAGTTTTTTATAAGACGCGAAATGGTTTCTAACCGATTTGGTAATCCGTAAGTTAAACGAACCGCTTTTCATAAAGGTTTTTTGGTACGTATCTATATATGTTTCCAAAATTTCTTATTAGATTTAACTTATTATAAAATACAATAATTCCTTAACTGAAGATCTTATACGTACTAAGTAATGTACATATATATACATATGTATATATTTAATCGAAAAACGAAATAGAATATTATGGTGGATGCCGCCGATTCGTCAGTATTTTCGAATGACGAAATTTGTGGTTTAATAGGAGGGAATTTATAGAACTCGACAAGGTCTAAATAATATCGTTGATAATAATGTATTACGTATAATAAATAAACAAATGAAATCGGTTAATAATTTAAAGAAGATTTCAAATAATTTTAAAGTTTTGAACTTTTGAAGCAAGTACGCGATAAAAGGGTTACTTTAATGGATTAAAAACATTTTTTGTATTTGAGCAAAGTAGGGTTAAATAGAGAAGATATTTTTCACTTAATTTTTTTTTGTAATCTGAGAAGAATTACGGATGATAATCCAAATCAAGATTCAAGTAATAGCTAGCCTTTGGTGAATATCAATCCATTCTGAAGAACAAAAATTTAATCGAATTGAAATCCGAATCATATTGTCTTAAGCGCTCTTTGTTGGATATGCCTTATTTATTTTTAGTTTGAAAGCTTCTATGACCAGATTTCGACTTCGTTCGGTATCAAACTCGCAAGAAGAATTCCTAGAAAGAAATTTCGAAAGAGTTATAATAGAAAAACAAGTTATTATGAGATTTTTATGGTGTATTCTTTAATATTGACTCTTTGCTCTCCTATATGATTGAATAAAACCTACGGTTAAGGCTTGACTGATATTTAACTTCCGAAAGTATTTATCAATTGATAGTTTGGCCTTTTATCGGCAATTTTTTAGGTCCTTTTAATTATATTTATTCCTCTTTATATCCCTCTGATTCCAAAACTATATAAAATTTTAAAATCTATATAATTTATTTGGTGAAAATTTATTTATTTATTTTGGTAACAAAGTGGTCTTACATGATTTCTTTTGAAAAATAAAATATCCGTGTGTTAATTTCTTTATGAAATTAATTTCAATGCGGAACAGAGTGAACCATTTTTGTCTTTATTTTTATCTTATTTTTTGGTAGCTTTAATTCAATTTAGCATTTAAGTTAAAAATATATATTTATAGGTAGTACGAAAATTCTCAACTCTGAACTAACCCGAAATACCACACAGTTGCATTTGCCACTTTTAGGTTACGTTACTTAGCGATGATTTTGTTGCTTAGCAGCATTAAGCTATGAGTCTATTTTTGTCCAATGGCAAATACTTTTTCCTTGATCTATCATTCATCACATCGACTTTTACGTAGTAACCAAAAAAAAAATTTAAAAAATAAATAATTGAATAAATATAGTAAAGTAAATAGGGAAACTCAACGACTCAGACGTGAATGATGATAAACAAACAAATGAGTTTCGGAACATACTACTTGAAGGGTGAGCATGATGTGAAGCGGAAAAAAGTAAATAGAAATATTTCTCACATTCCCCATTGCAATGTTGGTATTTTTTTATGTCAATATGTGGTAAGAAATTTTAAGAGGTTCCCTTTAGTAAGTGAGGATGAAAGTAATAATTTTATATAATCGCTTTCGGTTATGCTTTAACTGAGTTCTAACAGGAAGTGGAAACTTCAGATTTTGTATTTGCACAGAAAACCTTTGTTATATACAGTGACACACCAAAAAAGTTCGATTGAATCAACTTTAGAATATTTCGTATACTTTTCTAATTCATTCATTCAAGCATATATGTATGAATGTATAAATATTTTTTTTGTATACAAATTGAAAATTGGTAGTACAAGTCACTTTTAATGCGAGGATCAGCATCTAATCTAAACATAATCTAACCTAAAATAGTAGGATATTATCCTTAACTTTTGATGAAAAAAAAACTTTCTGTCAGCTTTTAACCTCTTCGTTTTACAACTAAAGTTTTTATAAACAGCTTCTGTCTTCTGATACGCTATATCAAGTAGAACTTATCGGATATACTTTGAGTTTTGGAATATCCGTAGTTATATGTACATAATAACGGAAACAATTATTTTGAAGACAAAAAGAAAACATTAGTAGCCCGTGCTCTTATATTCGAGTGGCAAAAGATACCCGAAATACAATTTCGAAATTCGACTATTTATTTGAGTTAAGTGGGGTTAGTTAATAACACGTTAAAATATTTGGAGAGATGTCTAAAAAAATAAGATAAATAAAATAAATCTAACAATTTTGAACTTTTTTTTTTAAAACTTGCAGATTGGAACGCACAAAAAAGAGATTTCAAGTAAATTTCATATTAATTCGATTACTATTTCGAACACTACACTTTTCGAACTGTTGTACGTAAAATGCTAACGGTCTCGTAATCATAAATAAACAATAAACTTTTGACAAAAGGAAAAGTCAGACTTTTTAGAGAAACTTATTTTAGATTATCAGTTGAAAAAAATTAAATATTAAGCTTAGTTATTCCACCACATTGGCAAACTTCTTATCAAAAAAATTTGCTTTTAGTGAGTTTCTTTTCGATTTTGTGGACATTTTTTGAGTTACCATTATTAACGGTTTCCACCTACATACATACATATATTCTTAAGGCAAACAACCGCCGGCATATATTTTTAAATGCACTTAGCAAGATATATCACTAGTTCTCAACGAATTTGTAGCGCTGCTGTCATTTGAGAGTCTCTCGACCTATATGAGTTGCTCAATTCGCCACTTCTCGACTTGATATTTTTAAGCGCTATCCCTTTGTTAAACGATTTACATGCCAATATATCGACTAATTTACCCGAAGCGATTGCGGAAAACTCGTTATACCAGTTTCGAAATCAGAAAAAGTCACAAGGACCCAAATCTGGCGAAAATGGTGGCTGAGTGATGATTCTCGTTTCGTGTTTGGCCATAAAGTTAGTCAAAACCATACTAGAATGTGACGGCGCATTCAGGTCTTTAGGTCTTTGGTACCTAACGCTTTGACACGCTTCATACCGAAAACATTAGCCAAACTGTATTGAGTTGAGCCATAAAATATATTAAGATCCGCTGCTATCGCTCTTAGGGATCAAATACTCTTTTCACGAAGTAAAATTAGTCAATATTCAATACAAAAAAAATGTAAAATCGAATTGAATTGGATACTCAAAAAAGAGCAAAAAAATGCTTGGAATCTCGGTCCCTACAGATTTTGGTTTTATCCATTTCATATAATATTAATAGTTGATTGTTGTTTTAGGTATCAGCTCCTTTTAAAAGCCACTAATCTGCAAACAAAATCGGACATATATAGTTATATATGTGTGTATTTATCTCAAATGCTATAAATAGAATTGATGGTTTTTCTCGGCGGTGCAATTCAGCGCGCTGCAACGCTATTCAGCTGGATATTCAGCACATTTTTTACATTTCAAATACAAGCAGAGCTCGTTTGATTTACTGCGTTGACTTTTTCGCGCGATGTGTGCAAATATATTGCGCCTAACGAACTGTGCCATCTATACTTGGCTTTGTTATTATTGTTCTACACACACACATATCTTACTTCTGTTTGTATTTGTAGTGATGGCTGAATGGCTGCCTTTTGCAGGCAATATTCAATATTTGCAATATTTTGTTGCTCGCACACACACTCTTTTTTCGACACGTCTTTATTTACACACACACAAACAAACACAAACATTTGTATATGTATTAGTGGTGAGCCCACAAATACCGTCACCCCCGTCACTCACATTGGTCGCGTTAGATCAGCGCGCGTATTAAGAGCTTGTTCGTGTGTGTGTGTTAGTTTGGTTGAGGTGAAGGTGTTGAGGTGTGAGGTGTTTGGATTCTATACGCAAAACCAATAATGACATGACTTTTGGGTTTGATTGGTACATAAATGCTCGTGCTCACTGTGCAAATACGCATATGTGTTGGTAAATACTCGCTGACATTCACACACACAAGCAAGCAAAAAATATTCGTTATTTATGGCCGCCGTGGCTGTTTGCTGGTTTGTGTACGTATGTGCATTGTGGCTTCAAAAGCATTCACTATAAATATATGCTCTATTAATCGCGCTTACCGCGGCAAAAGGATAATGTCAACAATTGGATTGAGTCGAGCCGCACAAAAACAAGTCAAAAAGCAAACACATACGTACATAACATAGCATAGTATAGGTACATAGTATACAGAGCATAGGTAGTGATAATCCAATCGCTTTAAAATATATGCCACTTTGGGATTTGCGAGCATATGTTTACACGTACGTATATATATGCATATACATATACAATTTTATAGACAAAGATAGGCCTGGTTACAAGTTAGCTTAGACATAT